CCGAGGAACGCCCCTTATTCCCTCTTTTATGAGCAGGTGTATGCCAACATTGAAATCCGGGTAATTGTATTCAGCCATCCACTTCTACTAGCCAACATTCTTGTAATGCTAATCTCTCAAAATCAGATAGGAATCTCACCAGTTCACAATCCACAGTCTCTTACCATCCAGCTACATTCCAGGTTACAATCTGAATAGGTCTTTCTGTATCTAAATGTTCTGGTTGACCTGGTTGTGCTAGTATGGAAGATTCTGACAGTCAGTTTATATCTGGAGCTGGGACAATGTCATTAGAGGAAGCCACAGGGAGGAGGAGGGAGCAAGCTTCCTTTCTGCTTCCCTGGAGACTAGGGAACAATGGCTTCAAACTACAAGAGAGGAGATTCCACCTGAACATGAGGAAGAACTTCCTGACTGTGAGAGCCGTTCAGCAGTGGAACTCTCTGCCCCGGAGGGAGTGTGGTGGAGGCTCCTTCTTTGGAGGCTTTTAAGCAGAGGCTGGATGGCCATCTGTCAGGGTTGATGTGAATGCAATATTCCTGCTTCTTGGCAGAATGGGGTTGGACTGGATGATGGCCCATGAGGTCTCTTCCAACTCTTGGATTCTATGATCAGTATCACCAGTGTCTCTCTTCTCTGTGTCTCTCTTCTCTGGGTTGCTGCGGGTGCTGTCCATTGCTGGCATTTATCGTAGCTTTTGTCCTCCTTGTATTCGCACTACCTTTAGTCGTTGTTGCTTCTGTTTTCGCCAGCATAATGTCTGTAGCCATGCCTGTGTTATTAGTGTTCATTCTGTTGCTAAATGAGTTTGGGGTTGCACTCCTTTCCCTATTTTTGCTTATCTGGCCATCTTGGACCTGTCTGTGAACAGTAGTGCTTCCTTGGTTTGGTGCGTCCTCCTGATTTAAGTCCTTACAGCTTAATATTGGATTTAGGTGTTTCATTCCGGTTTGTTTCCTTGAAAACAGAGGTCTAAAACGAACGTCCTTGTAATAGCGTACAGGGAAAATTCCCAAGGTGCTTAGGAATGCCTTCTTCCTCAATAATAATCCAGGAATATAGGAGTGTTTGAAATGGAGTGACACCCTTGGGAATTCCCAAGTACCCATCAGAGGCTTGACTGCTGATAGAGATGTATTCCTGCATTCCAAAATCTCTCTGATATTATTATTATTATTATTATTATTATTATTATTATTACTTTATTTGTACCCTGCTAGCATCTCCCAAGGGATTCGATGCGGCTTACAATAGGCCGGAGCCCAACACAATACATAGCAAATAAAACAGTTAAAGCAGAAAAGCAATAGCAATACAACAGGACGTTATTAAAAACTGAGCCGGCCGGAGTGGGGTACAGGGTTAAAAGTGCTGAAGTGTCGGAGGGATATGGGGTTAGAATATAAGTGCAGTGTGCGGTGAAGGTGATCTTGACTCTACTAAAGTGCTTCTGGGCTTTGATAGTGGGGTTCCTAATCTGAGAAGGCATGTTGGAACAGCCAAGTTTTCAGGTTCTTTCTGAAAACCGCCAAAGTAGGGGCCTGTCTGAGATCTTTCGGGAGGGCATTCCAGAGGCGGGGAGCCACCACAGAGAAGGCCCTGTCCCGCGTCCCCACCAAACGCGCCTGCGATGCGGGCGGGATCACGAGCAGGGCCTCTCCTGATGACCAGAGTGAATGTGTGGGTTCGTAGACTGTGGTGCGGTCACGCAGGTAGGGTGGTCCCAAACCGTTCAGGGCTTTGTAGGTAAGCACCTGCACCTTAAATTGGGCTCGGAAAATAAACGGCAGCCAGTGGAGCTCCTTAAACAGAAAGGTTGACCTCTCTCTGTAATGGGCCCCCGTTAACATCCTGGCTGCTGCCCGTTGGACCAATTGGAATTTCCGAGCCGTTTTCAAGGGCAGCCCCACGTAGAGCGCATTGCAGTAATCCAGTCTGGTTGTTAGCTTTGTGTACGGAAGTCCAGATGGGCAGTGCTCCATTAAAAGGGCAAATATCTAATACTAGTACAAAGTTTTGTATCCTTAAACTGTTGCCTTGTTCCTTCTGGGCTCGTTCGTTTGTGTCCATGGCCTGAGAAGGGTTTTCCCCATTTCCTTGTACTGCAGAGGGCCTCCTGTATCTGTGATTGATTGCTTTGTAAGTAAACCCAGGATCTCTATTGCTTTGGAGCTCAGGAGTTCAAGCATCTTTGCCATTAGAAGACATTGCTCAGGAAGCAATGATAAATCAATTCTGTCCTGACGTGTTTTGGAGCTTTCAATCTTGCCTCTTCCTCAACCCCCACATTCCGCCTTACTTGATCAGGGAGTGGTGTCAGCTCCTCATCCCTCAAAGGTTCGAATGAATCTGTTGGTTAAAGGGATAGCTGTCTCTTCAGGTGTCCTTGAGGGCCGTGCTTGGCGTGCAATTGCAAAGTCCTCTAAGTAACTTTGTTTTAGTAAAATGGATTCACCCACTGGCCTTGGAGATCTTTTCCTTCTTTTACAATCCTTCTTGTCGTTTTGAGAGCCCTCAACAGTTGGTGAGGCAAGTCTTTTCTTCCTTTTAGGCATTTTAGCTGTGCCTCGCGGCTCTTCTTGTTTTGTCTAAAGGATTATCAGCAGCTTAATTAGTTTCTCTTTCCTCCCTGGCTTCCCCAGATATAGTTTAAAATAGTTTGAAATAATAGCTGATAAAATGCTAGTATGCAATAATACAGATATTTAAAACGTTAGATAAAACGTAAAAACAGACCGGGGAGTTTAACTACACAGCCGTTCTCAGTGCCATCTTGGAACCTCGTATTCCCACCCCAAAGGGGACTCGGGACGGAGCGCAGCATATGTACGGCAAACATGCCGGGACAAGAATTCATGTGGGTATACATAAACATTAGAAACATTGATCAAAATGCTACTTGTGAATGTGATCAATAAACTCTGGTTAATTGGGGGACCATTTAACTGGTGGCACAAGCTGTACAATGTCCTGCTTAGGAAACAATCCTGGCACTACCCAGGTGACAGCTTCAGCTCAACTTATTTATTTTTTATTTATCATGTCAGGAGCAGACCAAACAATTGTATTGTATTTTTTAACAAACAAACAAAACACAAAGTTTGCAAGCTTGGTAGTTGATTAAATGTGCATTGACCAGTAGCTAGCCACTTGGAGTGCCTCTGGTGTTGCTGCAAAAAGGTCCTCCATTGTGCATGTGGCGGGGCTCAGGTTGCATTGTAATAGGTGGTCTGTAGTTTGCTCTTTTCCGCACTCGCATGTCGCGGATTCCACTTTGTGGCCCCATTTCCTAAGGTTGGCTCTGCATCTCGTGGTGCCAGAGCGCAGTCTGTTCAGCACCTTCCAAGTCGCCCAGTCTTCTGTGTGCCCAGGGGGGAGTCTCTCATTTGGTATCAGCCTTTGGATTGAGGTTCTGGGTTTGAGCCTGCCACTTTTGGACTCTTGCTTGCTGAGGTGTTCCAGTGAGTGTCTCTGTAGATCTTAGAAAACTATTTCTAGATTTAAGTCGTTGACATGCTGGCTGATACCCAAACAGGGGATGATCTGGAGATGTCACTGCCTTGGTCTTTCACTATTGGCTGCTACTTCCTGGCGGATGTCAGGTGGTGCAATACCGGCTAAACAGTGTAGTTTCTCCAGTGGTGTAGGGAGCAGGCACCCCATGATAACTGGCAGGTGATCCTCAATAAAAACCCTGCAAATGGGCTCCGAGGGCCAAAGAGGGGCCTGTAGTGGATGCAGTTGATGGCCTCCCTCCGACCCCTAAAGCCATAACACAAACATCATCTTTAACACTGGGAGTCCATCCTCCCATTTCCTCTATACCTCTTATCTCGTGTACTGCTGCTAGGATGAGTGCCTTCCACCCTGTGCTTCTGCATCCCTATCTCCATTTTTGTGGTCTTGGTGCAGGAGTTTGCTTGGTTTTTTTTTCTTTGCATTTGTTCTGCCTGAGGTCAGGAAAAAATTTGCTTCAGTTGGAAGAAATGAAGTATTTTTCTCCCAAGACTGACCACTTGGGATGGTCTGCCCATACAGCTGGTCACTCAAGTTCTGAGTTGGGATGTGAGGAAGCGGGATCCAGGCAGGAAACGCTTTGCAACCTTAAACCTTTCTGTGCTGACCATGTTGTTAGAAGTCTTCCTTTGCAAAGATTGGATGACACTCTGAACACACTGCAGTGCAAACAATCTCCTGCAGAGAATCGTGGGCCATTCTCCCCTCTTTGCAGGGCTTGCTCTTTGTTGGGCAAGTGTTAAAGACCTTCTCGGCAGGCCAAGGCTCTTCTCAATAGGACCGCTCTTTCTTCCTTCTTCTCCGGCATTGGCTACAGCACTAAGTTATTGTTCTTATTGTTCAATGAGGTATTTCTGTGCTCTGCTCCTGATAAGATTTTCCTCTCATTTCTCGGGCAGGTAACCTCTGAATGAACCTTGAGAAGAACACTTCCCATTGTCAGGAATGAAATTATACAGCACTCACAAGAAATAAGTTGGAGAAATTATATTTCGAGCTCCATAGCTGTGGAGCTCGGACAGCTGTCAGGGGTGATTTGAATGCAATATTCCTGCTTCTTGGCAGGGGATGGACTGGGTGGCCCATGAGGTCTCTTCCAACTTTTTGATTCTATGATTCTATTCAAGGAGGAAAGGGAGGATTGTGCTGTAAAAAGTGGAGCTTGGTAATTTATTTATTCAAATGGACTAGAGCAATAAAAGGACTGAGAAGACGAAATAAGGAGAATATATCTGTGACCTTCTGGCATAATATTTGAAAGTAAAAGAATGGAAAATCTCAATTCCTTGTCAAAATCACACACAGGGGAGAAGCGATATAATTGTATGGAATGTGGGAAATGTTTCACTTTAAGAAGTTCTCTTACTACACATCAACGAACTCACACAGGAGAGAAGCCATATAAATGTGTGGAATGTGGAAAGAGCTTCAGGGACAGTGGAGATCTGCGTATCCATCAAAGGACGCACACAGGAGAGAAGCCACATACATGCATGGAATGTGGAAAGAGTTTCAGTCAGAGTGGGACTCTGCGCTCTCATCAAAGGACCCACACAGGGGAGAAACCACATAAATGCTTGGAATGTGGAAAGAGCTTCAATCACAGTGGACATCTGCGTTCCCATCAAAGGACCCACACAGGGGAAAAACCACATAAATGCATTGAATGTGGAAAGAGCTTCAGTCAGAGGTATAGTCTGCATACCCATCAAAGGACCCACACAGGAGAGAAACCACATATATGCATGCAATGTGGAAAGAGCTTCAGTCAGAGTTCAAATCTGCATACCCATCAAAGGACCCACACAAGGGAGAAGCCACATAAATGCATGGAATGTGGAAAGAGCTTCAGTCAGAGCGGGAATCTGCATACCCATCAAAAGACCCACACAAGGGAAAAACCACATAAATGCATGGAATGTGGAAAGAGCTTCAGTCACAGTGACAGTCTGCGTGTCCATGAAAGGACCCACACAGGAGAGAAGCCATATAAATGCATAGAATGTGGGAAGAGCTTCAGTCACAGTGACAGCCTGCGTATTCATCAAAGGGCCCACACAGGAGAGAAGCCACATAAATGCATAGAATGTGGAAAGAACTTCAGTCAGAGGGGGAATCTGCGTATCCATCAAAGAACCCACACAGGGGAGAAGCTACATAAATGCATGGAATGCGGAAAGAGCTTCAGTCACAATGTAAGTCTACGTATTCATCAAAGGATCCACACAGGGGAAAAACCACATAAATGCATAGAATGTGGAAAGAGCTTCAGTCAGAGGGGCAATCTGCGTATCCATCAAAGAACCCACACAGGAGAGAAGCCACATAAATGCATGGAATGTGGAAAGAGCTTCAGTCGGAGTGACAGTCTGCGTATTCATGAAAGGGCCCACAAAGGAGAGAAGCCACATACATGCATAGAATGTGGAAAGAACTTCAGTCGGAGGGGGAATCTGCGTATCCATCAAAGAACCCACACAGGGGAGAAGCCACATAAATGCATTGAATGTGGAAAGAGCTTCAGTCACAGTGACAGCCTGCGTATTCATCAAAGGGCCCACATAGGAGAGAAGCCACATAAATGCATAGAATGTGGAAAGAGCTTCAGTCAGAGTGGAAATCTGCGTATCCATCAAAGGACCCACACAGGTGAGAAGCCACATAAATGCATGGAATGTGGAAATAGCTTCAGTCACAGTGTGAGTCTGCAGAGCCATCAAAGGAGACACACAAGGGAACATGCATTAGACATCAAATAGCTCACACACAGCTAGAGGAGACCTGCCAGTATGTTTCCAAGGGTCCCAGGTAGAGAAAAACTTGGGGCAAAGGACAGGAAAAGAAGGCTGCCAACTTGCTCTCTGTCTATGTGCAGCAGTTTGTGTAGTCGGGCTTGACTGGTTTTGACCGGCCTCTCTCTCCCGGCTTCTTCCCGGCCTATCCCCAAAACACCTCCTCCTCCTGTGGGGCCTCCTCGGGGAGGAGAAGGAGGCCCCTTCCTTCGAGTGGAGGTGAGTGAGTGAGGGGTAGGCCTGGGCCCTTGGCGTGGCCTTTCTTCCTCTGGGCATGATGGGGTCAGGCTGGGTGGCCTTTGGGATCTCCCCCCCCCCCCCAGACTGCCTGGGCGTTTGGAGGAGCTCCCTTCCTGCCTGCCTGCCTTCCTTCCTTCCTTCCTTCTCTGGAAGTTTTAAGCGGAGGCTGGATGGCCATCTGCAAGGAGGGATCGGGTGGTGCCTTCCTGCTTGACAGAAGAGGATTGGGATGGGTGGCCTCGAGGGTCCCGCCCGACTCCCTCCTGCCCTGACCACCCTGGACACTGGGGAGGCTTTCCTGGGGGTCCAGCGGGGGGGGGCTCCTCCTTCCTTCTCGGGAGGGTTCTCAGCAGAGGCTGGGTGGGCATCTGTCGGGAGGGCTTGTGCTATGTCCTCCTTCCTGGGCTGGGTGACCTTTGGAGTCTCCTCCAACTCTATGTCTCACCGTTTATTTGTCTACCACAATTCTCTACTGCCCTTCTCACCCCAAAGGAGACTCAGAGCGGCTCACAAGAGGCATTTACACACAATGTATTATATTATTCGCATTATATATTACTCTATTGTACTATACAATTGTATTGTAATATTAGTAATGTCACGTGTCCTATAAAATATATATTTATAATATCTGATTATTAAGATTATATTGTATTACATTATAACATTATAAATACAGGGAGGAGGGAGCAAGCTTCCTTTCTGCTTCCCTGGAGACTAGGACGCAAGGGAACAATGGCTTCAAACTACAAGAGAGGAGATTCCATCTAAACATTAGGAAAAACTTCCTGACTGTGATAGCCGTTCTGCAGTGGATCTCTCTGCCCCGGAGGGTGGTAGAGGCTCCTTCTTTGGAAGCTTTTAAACAGAGGCTGGATGGCCATCTGTCAGGGGTGATTTGAATGCAATATTCCTGCTTCTTGGCAGAATGGGGTTGGACTGGATGATGGCCCAGGAGGTCTCTCCCAACTCTTGGATTCTATGATTCCCTGATTCTATATTATATGTATACACAATATATTACATTATATTATTCGCATAGTACAATATCAGTGTTATATATTACTATATTGTACTATGCCATTGTATTGTAATATCATTAGTAATATTCCATGTATATATGTATACACAATGTATTACATTGTATTATTAGGATTATATAGTATTACATTACAAGACCTCCCTGAGTCGCCTGCGGGCTGATATGGCCGGGATATAAGTGATGTAAGTAAAAAAATAAATACATTATGATATTATAAATATTATATGTATACACATATTATATTATTTGCATAGTACAATATCAGTATTATATTACTAAATTGTACTATACCATTATATTGTAATATTACATGTTCTATAAAATATATATTTATAATATCTTCTTCTTCTTAGGATTATATTGTATTACGTTATGATATTATAAATATTAGATGTATACACAATATTTATTTATTTATTTATTTATTTCCGTCACTTTTACCCCGCCCTTCTCACCCCCAAGGGGGGACTCAGGG